CAGTGTATAGTGTATGCAGTGTGTTGAGAGGAGTATTGTGTTTGGGTGTACTGAGTGTCGGGTACGGGTGTGATTTCGGTGAGGTCATCTTTGTATTTTCTCCTGTTTATAATTTACATTATTTTCGCTGTGCAATTCCAACAATTGGTATCAGAGCCACATGGTTCTGTTCCGGGATTCTGCCGAAATCTGTATTTGTTGTTCCGATATTGCACGTGTTGAATATGGCGAGTTCGAGCTCTACCCGGTTTGACATACCGAAATTCAACGGATCCAACTATGCAATTTGGAAGCTGAAGATGCATGCTGTGTTGGTGAAAGAAGATTGTGCAATTGCCATAGAAGGAAAAGAGAAGAAGCCTGCTAATATGAAAGACGAAGACTTTGAGAAGAAAAATCAGATAGCCATGGCTGATATTCTTCTTGCTTTAGAAGATTCGGTTTTATTCAACGTGTCTGAGGAAACCACTACCAAAGGTTTATGGGACAAGTTGTAGAATCTCTACGAGGGGAAATCGATGTCCAACAAAATCTTTCTCCGACGACAATTCTACAATCTGAGGATGAAGGACGGAGCCTCTTTGCAAGTACATTTGAAAGAATTCAACACTCTAGTAAGAAAATTAGCAGCTGTAGAGGTGCGTATTGATGACGAAGAAAATGTTGCTCTTTTGCTTTGTTCTATGCCAGACTCTTGGGATAGTTTGATAATGAATTTGAGCAATACTAAAGATCTGTCATTAGAATCTACTATTTCTATGTTGCTTACGGAAGAATCTTGTAGAAAAGTTGGTGAGAATTCTTCAAGTGATGCAATGATGGTACGAGGTAGATCGAATGAGAGAACAGCTCTATCAAAAATTAAACGAGATCCAAGTCAAGAGGCAACAAGAAAGGAATCAAGTGTTGGAATTGTAGTAAGAAGGGACACCTTCGAAAAGATTGTTGGAAACCCAAAGTAGAGCAAAATCGGCCCAACTCTGACAAAGATCTGGCTTCAAACAATTCCCAAGGAAACATCGCAGAAGGAAGTGATTCATCAGAAGATGGTGAGGTATTGTCTATTGATTCTTGTGAAAATTTAAAGCATAACTAGATATTAGATTCTGGTGCTTCTTTCCATATGACGYCATGYAGAGRTTKGTTYTACACATACCAATCGTGCAATGGTGGGACTATTTACATGGGCGATAATAGCACATGCAAAATAGTGGGAATTGGTGATGTTAGAATTACTATGTTTGACGGCATCACTAGTACAATCTCTGGTGTATGGTATGTTCCTGAACTGCGAAAGAGTTTCCTGTCACTGGGAAAGTTTGATGAAGACGGTTACAAGTTTTCTAGAGAAAATGGCCAATTGAAGATCAGTAAAGGAGATATGGTAATTGCAAAAGGCAAATTACAAGAGAAGTTATACCACTTGATCGGGGATATCATGGTCGGCGATCCCATCATTGCAAATGTTGTGACCGATTCTGTCATGATTTGGCACAGACGTTTGGGTCATATGAGCAAGCAAGGACTTAAGGTACTTCTTGATCAAAAACTACTTCCTAGTTTAAAATCTACTGATTTGAATTTCTATGAAAATTGTTTATTTGGGAAACACCATAGAGCTAGTTTTCATAAGTCTAAAGCTAGGAGTAGAGAGGTATTAGATCTAATACACTCTAATACGTGGGAAGCTACTATGGAATCTCTTGGAGGTTCATTATACTTTGTCTCTTTTATTGATGATTTCTCCAAGAAAGTATGGGTATATTTACTCCAACGGAAGAGTGATACTTTTTCCTATTTCAAGAAGTTCAAAGCTCTAGTTGAAAATCAAAAGGGGAAAAGAGTTAAGTGTCTAAGAACCGACAATGGGAAATAATATACCTCAAAAGAATTTGAAGGATTTTGCAATGAGCATGGCATTCTGAGACAGTATACGGTTTCACGAACTCCACAACAAAACGGAGTTGCTGAACGGATGAATCGTACTTATGGATCGAGCTAGAAGCATGTTGAGTGCAGTTGGGCTGGAGCAGTACTTTTGGGCAGAAGCAGTCAATACGACATGTTACCTAGTAAATCGCCCTCCCACTACAGCACTTGATTGCAAAATTCCAGAAGAGGTATGGTCAGGAAACCCTGTTGATTATTCTTTCCTACGTACATTTGGTTGTGATGTTTATGTTTGGATTCCTAAGGAGCAAAGAACCAAGCTAGAGGCAAGGTCCAAAAAGTGTATTTTTCTTGGCTATGCAGAAGGTACAAAGGGATACAGATTATGGGATCCTACTGTCCACAAGATAGTTGTTAGCCGAGATATTGTCTTCAATGAAGATTCGATGCAGAAAGAATCAAGCTCTAAGACAATAGAGAAAGTTGAAGTGGAATCTTTTCAAAAGATTCAAAAGCAACAAATTGATACAACTATTGATGTACCTGAAGAGCACATTGAAAATTTTGAAGGAGAGACTCACG